TCCAGACGTGTCCTACATGTGTTGATAATTTTTCATTAATTTAGGTTACAGGAGTTTTAACCTGGGAGCCACAAAAGGAGAACCAACCAGCCAACCCCCATCTTGCTGCGTTCCTGGACAATAAAGTGGTTAAAGTTTCAGAACCAGTATGCACACTTGATGAAACAACTAAGCTGTGTTCTCAGTGCACATTGCCACACGAGGCCTCTCGCACTCGGTATCTCTGATCAACAGGCATTGGGGAATTAGGATTACAAACACCTTGTTCTTAGAAACAGGAGTTGTCTGATATCTAAGTTTTCAGCTCGCTCTTTTGGCTTGCAGTTCCCTCGGGCAAACTCTTTCTTTGCTAGAAGGTGCCTGCGGGAGAGGGTAAGGAGCAGCTGAGAGATCCCCGAGGGAAAGCATCCACAGCAATCAGCATGTTTACTCTCTACAGTGCAGTAAAACGGTTGTACAACCTAAAGATGTTGGGCTAAAAATGAACACTGATTTAAAGATGCACTAACCTCCTGACGTTTATACCCCAGTTTTGTACATGCAGGATTTTGAGAATCTATTTTAATATCATTTATGAATAAACACGGATTCAATTTGGTAAGCTTTTAAAGCTTAAGAGACCCTGTCACCAGCTTAAAAAATTGCAAGAAAAAGCACAGCAAAAGCAAGCATTTTAGACACACTATTCCATTATTTATTTTTTATTGATCTTCAATGTGCCTCTGAACTTGCTAGAAAATGTGACTACTCCAGGAAGAGTCAATTCCCTAGCATAGCCCTCCTTGCATATCATAAACTTCCTGATTTGTTAGGTGTGCGGTTAGGAGCACCTAGTAAAAAAAATCCTATTCACTTGCATTTCATTGAAAATCTTTATATGCTAGAAACAACAGATACAACCAGTATGTTTGGGGGACCAAACTCTCTAGAAGCGTATAAGAACAACCATCTGGATCTCCAAAGACTAAAGGATAAGAGTTCACTTTTGGGAAAATGTTACATGTTCCACCCCCATGTAACATGTTCCCAATGCTGCAGCTGCTGCCCAATTTCCCCCCCCGTGACAGAAGTACGAGGAGAAGTTCCCCATACAATCTTTCACAGCGTGGCTTTGCGGGCCATCGCTCACACAGCCATGTCATTCATTCACAGTGTTCTGTGAATGAACTACAAGTCCCAACAGCCTTGGTGGCTGTCAACTTGTGGTTCTCAATGAACTAACTACTGGTAGTTCATTGAATCTTCCTGTCAGTATATCTGCTTGCCTGTACATCCCATATGGGCAAGCAGATATACTGACAGGTCTACAGGGCACCTGCATAGCACCAGCGATTTGCTGATTGCCAGTGCACTGCTCTACAGGTTCTTGCAACCAAAAATAATAAATGCACATTTTGTTTACCTGCAAAAAAATATGTATTTACTATTTTTGGTCAAAAGATGAACTTATTTTTTAAGCAGTCTTCACAATCACCTTCGAGTTTTAGCTATCCCTATCCATATCAGGATGTTCCTGCCTCTCCTGATTCTCCACAAAAGAAACTACTTTCAAAACCCATTAGAAAGAATAGACACTACAGCAAAGTTTTTGCCACAGTGGTCCTTGAGAGATATAGGAAAACATTACATACCCTCCAGCATCTACCAACAACTGAAAAACATTTCTAGGTGGACAGTCCCTTTAAAAGCAAGGACCACCTATCACTAGGACAGAAAGGTATGGGGGAATCTTCCCAAAGGGGATGGGGATAGCAAAAGAGACTTGAATGAGTTTCCAATCCCTAACTATGGTGCCAGGCTCCGCCCCCCCGCCCACTATGTCTCCCAAGCTCTGCTTGCCCATCTGTGGGTCCAGGACTAGTTCAGTGGGTACCACCGGGTATAGGGGAGGGAGGAGAGCGGACACATCTGCTCCCCTCCCCTTCTTGTCCTGACCCAGAAGTGATGTGACGTCACTTCCGGGTCCCCGTTGACAGATGTGCGATGTACACTGCATTACATCCAATGTAGTACAGGGGAGATGTGCAGGGTCTATTAGACCCTGGATGTCTCAAAAAAGAGAACATGTCACCAAAAATCATCACATGGGGACTTTTTGTCCCCTATGTGATGAAAAAAAAAAAAAGTTAAAGAAAAATATTTTTCTTCTAATTAAAGTTACACCCAATCATATAAGCCATGCCACAATTTTTCATTTTTCGAAACGTAAAAGCACATGCATGAAAACATTTGCACTACACGTTACATATCGCCATGCACACCAGAATGAGAGCAATCATTCTAGCACCAGATCTCCTCCGTAACGCTAGACTGATGACCTATAAGGGGCTTTAAAATCATCACCTATAAAAAATATAAGGTACCAAAGTTTGTTGCCATTTCATGAGGGCATGCAAATTTAAGGTTTGTCATATCTATTAACTTGATGCAACCTCGTCTTTTATATTTTACAAAAAAAAATTGGAACATTTCCCTGCCCTAAAATTAACTTAAGTGTGTTTTTTACTGAAATTCTGCGTTTCCTAGTCCTTTGTGATAATATTGTGTGACATAAAAAAATGTGGAACTACCACTATTTTATGCTCTAAGGTCTCTTGATTTCAGAAAATATATAATGTTTGGGAGTCCTGTGTAATCTTCAGGCCTTAAATGGTTTTTTAAACGTGTGCAAAAAGCATAAAAACAGCTCTGACAGAAAAAGGGATAAAGGATAAGCCCGATACTCCACTTTCCTGATGAGAACCCAAGTAGTGCTCATTACACTGCAAGGTCTCTCTCCTCCCTGCTAGTACCCGGGTACAATGCGGGAGACAGGCAGGGAGGGGAGGAGGAGATAAACAACGCAATGTTAAAAATATTAAACGTTTCAGTCGCCATAAAGCCCCTTTTGTTTTTACAAGTCCCAGATATTACTTAAAGCGCCTCAGATTTAAATACGGTTTTTGTTAAAAAAAAAATATTATAAAGCATAAGTAGATTGTCATGAGGGACAAGTAGATCGGGACCCCGATTTAGTCGCTGGACAAGTAGTTTTTTTTCAAAAATGTCCACACCCCTGCACAACACAAGTTAATTTGTGCATTATGTACTGCAAAGGATTACTTAGGTGTGTATAAGCCTAATGTTTAGCTGGTATTCAATGCTAAAACCTGTGTGAAAGATTAGCCTGCACATGGTGAATTTCTTGGTAGGGATACCATACAAGTGACCAAAAGTTAGTTGAAAGCCTGCTTTAGTAGCTGTTCCTTACCAGAGTTCCTCCAGAGGTTGCCAGGGGTTTCTTAAGCTGTGGTTGATTGACCTCCTATTGGGTGGTGCCTGCATAGTTATAGGGCCAGTTCACACTACATGCGTTTCAGCTTTTTTCTGCATCCAAAACGCACAGAAAGTAGGTTATATGGTTGTCAATGTCATAGTTCACATCAGTGCTTGCAGTTCTAGTGTGTTTCAGTTGCAGAAAAAAAAAAGTGGAGCATGCTGCATTTTTTCTGCACAGAACTGTACTGGAACACAAAGCACATAAAAAACGCGCTGGAACACACACCAAAAACGCATTGGAACGCACCAAAAACGCATTGGAACATATATGTCCCTATTTAAATTGTCGAAAAAGAGGGGGAAAATGAACTAGAATGCAAAAAAATGCACTGGAACGTGTCAAAAACGCATCAAAAAAGCACCGGAATGCGCCAAAAACGCAGCAAACATGCACATGCAAAAACACATCCGGAACATATCTGAACTGCATTTCTATGGTGTGAACAGGCCCTTAGGGACAAAACCACTTGGCAGAGCCAGCTGCAGGTCTCAAATGATCTTTATAGCTGTGAGGGTGGCATTTTGATCACCACTGTAATAGGGACATTATTCCCACTGGCCACCAATATAAAGGGCATTTTTCCCACTGGGAACCAATGTAAAGGGCATCCCCCCCCCACCCATCCCCAAAAAATTATTCCAAGGTTTCCTCTAGGGTAAAAAGGTTTAAAAAGGCTGGCCTAGGACAGGCTGCAAAAAAAAACCTAGATGACAACTCATTTTTTCATTAGGTTTGGAACACTGACATTGCACATTTATGTTATTAATAAGCCCATTCAGATACATAAACATATATGCAAGATATATAAAATGCAATAATGCACATTAAAATGATCCAGCTGTTACAGTATACTTTGGCCAGACTTCCTCTCTGACTGGTTGTAATATACTGATTAATGGAGTCTACTAATCCTTAGCAACAAAACAGTAAGAAAACACTTGCACTTGTGTAAATAAAAATCAGAAAAAGTGTACAAACGTGTATTTAAAAAAAAGTGTAAACCTATCCAACCACTCCTCATCTTGCCAAGTAACTAAAACGAGCTCCAGGAAAACACAAGTTTTGAAAAAAATGTTACATGCAAACAACTCATACTGGGTAAAGTAACGAACAATTATTCTTTTAGGCTTGCCGTCATGAAACAATGCTGGTATATGTTCTAGTTTCTATATATGGGCAGCTAGCCATTACACACAATGCAGCTCCATCCAGCAGTGGCACTTCTCCAAACCCACGTGTGAATCCAACATCGGCTGCTGGCAGTTGTCATGAGGAAAATATGGTGGCTGTTCAATTTTTTTTCTAAAAATACTAGTTGATGCTGCTTTACTTATTTTTGTGCAGCCAAAGGCTAGATGTACATCCATGCGTTGCGGCGATGCATGCTTGTTGATGTTTTTCTTATAAGGTTTACGTATTGCACCAAATCACACCAAAGAAGTGCATGTTCCTTTTTTTATAATGCAGTACACCATAATGCATGGCAATAAGTTACCATGCGTTGTGGTGTGCTGCAATGCACATGCATTGGCAATGTCAGCTGGGGTGCCATTAAGAATGAATGATGTTGAAGCTCAACAAACCGTGTTTTCATGTGCTGCAGGAATTCAAGTTGAGAATCAGAGGTGAAAGTTCACCTTAGGGCAGTGGTGCCCTGGCAATTGCTTGATCTCATGCTGATAATACTTTCTGTCTCCAAGCTCCAGAGAGTGCATTCCGGTATCAAAATAACCGAGCCCAGTAGTTAAAGCCGAACTTCAGGTATAAAATATAGTGCATTCTTAAAGTGTTACTAAACCCAGGACCCTGCATTCACTATATCTGGTCTCCCCGGACCCTGCATTCACTATATCTGGTCTCCCCGGACCCTGAATTCACTATATCTGGTTCCCCCCCGGACCCTGCATTCACTATATCTGGTCTCCCCGGACCCTGCATTCACTATATCTGGTCTCCCCGGACCCTGAATTCACTATATCTGGTCTCCCCAGACCCTGCATTCACTATATCTGGTCTCCCCGGACCCTGCATTCACTATATCTGGTCTCACACAGTACACAGAGCATGGAAATGCAATTATTTTAGTAAATATAAACTGCTAAATAACATTTCTCATCAGCAGTTAAACCAGTTTTGTGACTTCTATCAGTGTCCAGCTGAGTACTGGTTAAAGCTTGTAGGAGGAGCTTACATTCTTCTCTGACTGTCCTAAAAGGCTGCATGACTCCTGACCCTCTGTCTGGACAGTGTTGATTGGCTCTGTGCTAATCATATTTACCCTCCCAAAGAAAAAAAAACTCTCTAGCAATACACACTAAAATGAGCATGTGCAGAGTGTCTCCTAGGGCTCTGTACTATCAGCATATGGATTGTGGACTGTGGAAGAAGGGGATGCTCAGAAAAGGTGTGATCAAACAGCTTCTTTTTTTTAACACAATGCGGAGAATTAACCCCATAAGTTTCATAGTGAATATAACAAGCATGCTTTACTTCATAAACTAGACTGAATTTTATTGTTGTGGGTTTAGTAACACTTAAAGGATAAGTTCTAACTTTACCAAAAAATATTAAATGCATGTTATTTTGCAGGTAAAAAAAATGGGCCTTGACTAATTTTTGTTTTAGGAGCATGGAAAGCATTGCACCAATGATCAGCAGATCCCTGGTGCCATATAGGTCTCCTGCAGGCCGTCAGTATGAGCTGTCTTCCTGTACATCGCAGGGGCAGGCACTTTTACACTAACGGAAGAATGAATGAACTACCACGGCGCTCAACAGTGCCATGGTAGGTCTCTGATTTACAGGGATCTGTAAATCAATGATGCGGCCATGTGGGCAGAGCCCCGCATGGCTGTACTCCCTTTGACTTGTGGCAGCGAGTATTGGGAGAAGATCCACGACCTGCTGCCACAAGGAGGGGTGGGATTGGGTGGGAGAGGGGTTTGATGCTGAACATGTTACATCCTAAATATAGGTGTAACATGTAACGTCAGAAAGGTGAACTTATCCTTTGAATTGGTTCAGCTTGGCACAATGTAACTATGCATTTTTCATTCCTAAGGGACTGTAGGGAAGTTGATGCTACTACAGTGATTGCATCTCAGTCATGTGCTGAGTGGCTGCCCCACTGCATACTGACAAACTGGGGGTCGCTTGCTCATTACCGCCATCATTTACAGAACACCTTGGAATTTTTCAGTAAATACAATGTATTCTCTGATTGGACAAGGCAGAGAGGAGGGTCAGTGATGTCACAATCTCCACCCCTTCCAATAAGAGAACAACTTGCAGTCAGTGAAAAATAATAGCGACTGTCGGCTTTACCAGTGGCCTGATGTTGGAGATATGAATACTTACATTGCACCATGCCAGACCAAGGTAACTGTGCAATCAAGATCATACCTGGAGTTTAGCTTTAAGAAAAACAGAACCACTACAGGACACTACTATGAAAACTGAGGAAACAGAAGACAGCATGATAATCAGCATGAGGTCAGAGAGAGATATATTACACACACACACATATTTATATATTTATTTATTTTAAATCGGAACACTTTTCCTTTAAGAAGTGTCAGCTCCCTAATATTCTGGAAGTCTCCTGTTTCATTAACACCCCATCAAACTAACATGACAGAAAACTTTGCTTTTCACTTAAGGTTTCCCAGGTGCTAAACATTTCACAAACTAGAGCGAAGCAGTTCATGTCAAAATAAAGCATGTTTAACATTCCCATACATATTTTTAATATACAAGTTTTATTTTCTCCATCTGTCCTCAGCCATGAGAATCTGACTTCTATGTGATGTCAGTCAGTTATCTATGAGTGAAAGGAAAAAAATAATAAACACGACTATCTCCAAAGTTTGATTAAAAGAGAAATGAGGACACGTAACGAACAGACCTGGTTCATGAAGCTGCAACAGCACTTAAAAGTTGTTCTAAACCCCAAACATTTTTTTACCTTAATGCATTCCCTGCATTAAAGTGATTCTAAAGCATTAAGGTTCTTTACCTTACTGCATTCTATGATTTAAACGAAAAAAACCTTCTGTTGGAGAAGATCCCTCCCTTACTCCCCTTACTTGACCTGAGCCCCATCTCGATCCAGTGCTGTGCCCGAGAGCAGGGGCCTCTCCCAGATCTCTTTCTCCTTAGCCCCATGTACACGGGACACTTCTGAACAAAGGAAACTGACTGCTGGAAAACGTAGGTTAAAAAACGTCTGTTTAGCTGCATTTGCATAACGCGTTTATGAGCATTTGCGTGCGTTTGCGTTTAGAAACGTTTTTTAAAGATAAGCAAAGGAGAACCTCCCAAATGCCCAGAATGCACTGAAAAGTGGTAAATTATTAACTATTTCAGACTGTTTCAGAGAAATACAGAGAGTAGAAGCAGAGACAGCAGTAGTTGTTTAGATTAGCTTAGGTGTGAGTTGCTCATTAACATTTCTTTTGTTTCCAAGGGTGGGAAAGGTGGAGTGAGTCATTAAGGCCACCTGGCAGGGGGGTCTTCATGAGCAATTTGAGTTGTGAATGGTCATTAACATATCTTTTGTTTCCAAGGGTGGGAGAGATCTGAGGTGTGAATTGGTCATTACAATGTGTAACAAGCTTGGTGGGAACATCCTGTGTTCAGTGTTTTGTCCATTTGAGTACCTTGTAAACTCTTTGCATGCATTTTTCATGATGAAAAAAGGCTGTGGACAGCATCAGGAACTGGAAGAGTTAAAAAAAAATTTAAACGCTTATAAACGCAATTTGTCGCATTTAACTGCGTTTACAAGCGTTTTGCGCTTGAAACGCTGACAAAATCGACTGCTGAACGCAAGTTTTCTGCATTAAAAAAAAACGACTGTAAACGCAAATGCCTGTAAACTACTGTAAATGAAGATGAGTACATGGACACATAGGGAAACATTAGGGTGAGTTTCAGCTGCTGAAAAAAACACTAAACAGTTCCCAAACGTGAGTTTATCAGCTGCAGTGTACATGAGCCCTTACTGGGCAGATTGATAGCAGTGAGAGCCACTGGCTCCCACTCCGGCTCCCACTCCTGTCAGTCAAATCCTATGACAAGGGAGCAGGGACAGGTCCAAACGGGGATCAGGAGCAAGCCCACTTGTGTGGAAGCAGCCTCCTATGGTGGAACATAAAGAAGATGAGTAGCCAAGAGCACCAGTGGGGGATCCCAAAAGAGGAAGATCAAGGTTGCACTGTGCAAAAGTATAACACAATTTTAATTAAAAAAAAAACCAAAAAAACACAAAAATCTGGAAGCTTTAATAACACTTTAACATATGTACTGAGTACTCACTTGATCCAGAGCTGTGCGGCTCTGTCTTTCATCCTAGCTCTCACAGACTTTGCTGAGGCAGTGGGAGCCATTGGCTCCTGCTGCCGTCAGTCAAATCCTGTAACGTGGGAGTGGGGAGCAGGGCTGAGCCCCACTGTGTGTCTATTGATGCAGACAGTGTGGCTCGGGAGTGAGCCCACACAAGTGCCCCCATAGCAAGCAGCTTGCTATTGGAGCACTCGGAGGAGAGCAGCACCAGCAGGGGAACCTATGAATTGGAGGTTTGAATGGAATTTAACAGGTAAGTGTAATACATTTGTTATTTTAAAAAATCATAAGACCTTAAAATCACTTTAAACGTCTGCTAAATACGGTTTACGACATGCTAAAATCATATAATGTTGATAATGTTAAGTGAGAGGTCACGTTAGCCTGCCTTACACGTACCTTAAGTGCGGCTTTAAATCTGAGCTTTGGTCCTACTTCTCCTTTAAATGGTTACTAGGATCAGGAACCTGGGGACCACCAACTGTACCAAGCCTTCCACTAAGGGTTGGCCCTTGGGGGGTGTTATGTAAAAATCAAAATTCATTGATGGATAGATGAATGGGCATTCCTAGACAGACTATTTGCATAATCATTTTTTACAGTAACTATGCTGTAGCAAAAAAAGATTTCGACACAGATGCATGAGTTGCCCGCTCCTTTTATCTACTTGCATACTGCCCTAGGTAACATCCATATGTGATTCTGAACCTTTATGACCAAAAGGAAGAAATTCAGTTAATGAAAGGGACAGGCCAGGGATAGTCAGGCTAGGGAGGAATGGACTAGATATGATGCTAGATGTCCTCCAGCCAAAGGCAAGCTCTAGTTGAATTGATGCATCTTCTAAGCTCACAGTGTGCAGCACAATCAGCGTAATGAATTTCAGTACAGGGTTGGAGTCTGTACAACTGTGAAAGTCTAAAGGGAGGTTGGAGTTCAGCTCTAAGACTTTTATTTTAAAGAACTTTAACAACAACAATCTCACATGATTGTGAAAATGAATAAAATCAATTCTATTTCAAGCTCTTTGAAATACATGCCTACCGGTCGACCAATGGACCTAATCCAAGTGCCAAAGAGTCAAGGTTCTTTTTTCCTTTGCAAATAAACAAATTAACAAGAAGACCAATTATGACCATCGAACAATACTCAACTTGCCACTTTGCAGACAGCAAATGAGTAATGTGTCCTATGAAATAATTCATCAGATGTATCAAATTTCCACCTCATCTCCATTCTGTGGGTCAATCGAAAATATCTGATTGTAATGCATTCATAATTTAATTTTATGACTTTTACAGAAAAAAAGATAAATAAATAAAAGCATCTTCAATGTGTTTTGATGCTAATTTAAAGTGTTTGTTCCTATTGGAAAAAACAATTCAATCATGGTTATTAAATGTACTCCCACATCCCAACAGAAGGCTTACCAGCGATGATGTCAGTTTCCAACCCAAAAGAAGAGTTTTAGAAAAATGCTGAATTCTTAAACGCATCCCTTTTTCAAGAGACAATGTAGCAGTTTAAGCTGCACTTTACACTTGTGGAAGCCGGCGCTTTAAATAGGATGTGATGCCCAAGGACGGTAGAAGGGGTTTCCGATTATGTGGCACTGTGATTGGCTGTACTGTGCAGATGTCCTTCTGAGCCTAACCAAAAGCCTTAAGCTTCCCACCTGTTGTCTGCACTGCAGCTAAC